GTTAACTTCATTTATTCAGAGCAGGATATTAAATGAATATGTTAACTTCACTTATTCAGAGCAGGATATTAAATGAATATATTAACTTTACTTATTCAGAGCAGGATATTAAATGAATATGTTAACTTCACTTATTTAGAGCAGGATATTAAATGAACATGTTAACTTCATTTATTCAGAGCAGGATATTAAATGAATATGTTAACTTCACTTATTCAGAGCAGGATATTAAATGAATATGTTAACTTCACTTATTCAGAGCAGGATATTAAATGAATATATTAACTTTACTTATTCAGAGCAGGATATTAAATGAATATGTTAACTTCACTTATTCAGAGCAGGATATTAAATGAATATGTTAACTTCACTTATTCAGAGCAGGATATTAAATGAACATGTTAACTTCATTTAATCGGAGCAGGGTATTAAATGAATATGTTAACTTCATTTAATCGGAGCAGGATATTGAAAATGAATATGTTAACTTCGTTTAATCGGAGCAGGATATTGAAAATGAATATGTAAACTTCATTTATTCAGGGCAGGATATTAAATGAATATGTTGAAACACAAAAGTAACTCTGATTGGCCCTGTTAATAACTTTCATTCCTAGGTTATATTATTATAAGATTTTACATGTCATTTTTCCAGTTATTAACACTTTGTAGGTTGATGAGCCCACTATCAGTTGTTTAGTGCACATCTGCATTTCAAATATAAACAATAATTTTAACATTATTTCAAGAATATTTTGTCATTTTATAACGTATATTTAGTGTAATTTATAAAAGAAAAAAATTTTACTTATATTTCTACACAGTTCTTATACAAGTCTCATCTGTAATACAGAATTGAGGAAAAAGAAGACAATTGTACGGAATAAATGATGTATTTGTGAAAACAACCATGGTGATGCCTTTACTGGAGAAACTACTAACATAGCTCAGTTTTAAAAAGGCAAATACCATTAGAACAGCTACTAACATAGCTCAGTTTTAAAAAGGCAAATACTATTAGAACAGCTACTAACATAGCTCAGTTTTAAAAAGGCAAATACCATTAGAACAACTACTAACATAGCTCAGTTTTAAAAAGGCAAATACCATTAGAACAACTACTAACATAGCTCAGTTTTAAAAAGGCAAATACCATTAGAACAACTACTAACATAGCTCAGTTTTAAAAAGGCAAATACCATTAGAACAGCTACTAACATAGCTCAGTTTTAAAAAGGCAAATACCATTAGAACAACTACTAACATAGCTCAGTTTTAAAAAGGGAAATACCATTAGAAAAGCTACTAACATAGCTCAGTTTTAAAAAGGTAAATACCATGGGATGAAACAGATGATCAACTTTTTACATCAATGTAGAATGAGTAAAATGGTAATTTATGGTTTCATAGGAACGTGACAACACCTTGCTTAGGCAGTAAAGGATGAAATGAAGTTTAGAAAGAAAACAAAATATTTTATTGTTTTTCAAAACTCTCACAAAACAATTTTGAAAATTTCACAACATAAAAAGATGATAGAGAATTAAATCAAATTATATGGTTTTTGTATATCTGAAGCTAAATACTATTTATCAAGTCTGTTCTACATTTAATGCAATTTCATTAATTATTTCCGTGAGAACCAAGACAGCAGGGGTACCAAGTAGGTTGTTTGTATGAAAGTATATAAAACCAAGTATTACTTTAACAACACATTAAATGCATTATTTCAGATTTGGAAATGTATTATTACTCGTATCCTAAACTACGAAGTTACATTTATTAAAAACAAATATGTTAGGGAATTATATGATTCTTATGTTTAACTTCATCTTTATAGGTTGAAAACTTGGTTGCAGTGGAGTTGGCGTACATCAATACAAAACATCCTGACTTCCATGATGCTGTTCTGGTTAATACTCTCGTTAAAAATGCAGAAGCCGAGAGCAAAAGGCCCATGAAACGTGTTGAAAACAATCCTAACCTTCCAAGTGCTCCTTCAAACCTGAATATACCTGAAGTTAATAATGAAAAAGTTATCAACAAAGTAAGATCAGAGTTACGTCAGTTTTATAATGTTTAACCATAGTTCTTGTACTTTCACCTGCTAGCTAAACATGGATTGTATCTTATTTCTTACAGAGTTGAAATATTTTTAAAATGTCTATCATTTCCTGGAAGTGCCATTTATTTTGTGAAAACTTTGAGCTATGTGTATTTTTTAAATCCTGCAGTGAAGTCATTGGAAGGACTTTCCAAGACCACAGTGAACAAGTTTGTATATATATATTAATGAAATAATTGATTAGTGCTAATGTTATTTTGTCATGGCTGGATGTGAAGTTTAATAAGTTGAATAATAAATTTACAAAATGTATATTCACAATATGTCAACTGACCGAAGTTATCACCTTTTACATGTTTATTACATAAACAGAATATATCAACTCCCAGAAAGTATTAACTTTTATATGTGTATTACCTAAACAGAATATATCAACTCCCAGAAAGTATTAACTTTTATATGTGTATTACCTAAACAGAATATATCAGCTGCCAGAAAGTATTAACTTTTATATGTGTATTACCTAAACAGAATATATCAACTCCCAGAAAGTATCAACATTTACATGTCTATTACATAAACAGAATATATCAACTCCCAGAAAGTATCAACATTTACATGTTTATTACATAAAAAAATTATATCAACTCCCAGAAAGTATCAACATTTATATGTGTATTACCTAAACAGAATATATCACCTCCCAGAAAGTATTAACTTTTATATGTGTATTACCTAAACAGAATATATCAACTCCCAGAAATTATCAACATTTACATGTGTATTACATAAACAGAATATATCAACTCCCAGAAAGTATTAACTTTTATATGTGTATTACATAAACAGAATATATCAGCTCCCAAAAAGTATCAACTTTTATATGTGTATTACCTAAACAGAATATATCAACTCCCAGAAAGTATCAACATTTACATGTTTATTACATAAACAGAATATATCAACTCCCAGAAAGTATCAACATTTACATGTTTATTACATAAACAGAATATATCAACTCCCAGAAAGTATCAACATTTACATGTTTATTACATAAACAGAATATATCAACTGTAAATGTTGATACTTTCTGGCAGTTGAATTATTCTGTTCATGTGATACACATGTAAAGTTGATACTTTCTGGCAGTTGAATTATTCTGTTCATGTGATACACATGTAAATGTTGATACTTTCTGGGAGTTGATATATTCTGTTTATGTAATACACATGTAAATGTTGATACTTTCTGGCAGTTGAATTATTCTGTTCATGAGATACACATGTAAATGTTGATAGTTTCTGGCAGTTGAATTATTCTGTTCATGTGATACACATGTAAATGTTGATAGTTTCTGGGAGTTGATATATTCTGTTCATGTAATACACATGTAAATGTTGATACTTTCTGGCAGTTGAATTATTCTGTTCATGTGATACACATGTAAATGTTGATACTTTCTGGGATGTGTATCACATGAACAGAATAATTCAACTGCCAGAAAGTATCAACATTTACATGTGTATCACATGAACAGAATAATTCAACTGCCAGAAAGTATCTAATTTTTCATGTGTAGCACATAATTTGCTGTATTTTCAGTAGCTTTAAATCATTCTAAGATAATAAAAATATACAACTTTGTGTCTATATTTATGGATCCTATACTTAGTATGATATGAAATATTAGCCACTAATATGATAATAGAAAAAAAATTAAGAAAGCAATAAAAAAGTCTAAAAGCTCCATGGTTTTAATTTTCTTTCAATAGTTTTATGGTGTACATTTTATAATAAAATAGTCTTAGCATAATACAAATGATAAATATTATTTTATTTTTGTAAAACTACAGGAATTTAAACAATATATTTTGTAGGATTTCCAAAAGCAGATTGACAGATTTAGTATATTGTTTTTTAGAGAAATTGGTCCTGTGTAATATGTGTTTGTACACAAAGCCGTCTGTGAACAAAATGGTGAGATGTCTTAGCTGTTTGGTGAAAAGTTTAAATATATTTTGTGAAGCTAAGTTAAGATAGATGAATTTGAATTTTTCACGTTAGAAACCTGAAAGTTAATGAGTGTAATATGTTTAATTTTCTTTTCCTGTTATGGTCAAATTACAACTGTACGACTATTCAGCTCAGTCGGTAGAGTATTCGTTCAGGGCAAGCTCTTTATATTGTGGGATGTTGCACACCTGTGATACGAGTCTGGTTTTCTGTCTGTCTGGCTAGTAGTGCCTTTCTTAGTTCACGCTTGTGTTTGTATATCTGGAACTTTTATCTATGTAAATAGTACGTTTGTGTTTGTATATCTGAAACTTTTATCTATGTAAATAGTACGCTTGTGTTTGTATATCTGAAACTTTTATCTATGTAAATAGTACGCTTGTGTTTGTATATCTGGAACTTTTATCTATGTAAATAGTACGCTTGTGTTTGTATATCTGGAACTTTTATCCGTGTAAATAGTACGCTTGTGTTTGTATAGCTGGAACTTTTATCTATGTAAATAGTACGCTTGTGTTTGTATAGCTGGAACTTTTATCTATGTAAATAGTACGCTTGTGTTTGTATATCTGGAACTTTTATCTATGTAAATAGTACGCTTGTGTTTGTATATCTGGAACTTTTATCTATGTAAATAGTACGCTTGTGTTTGTATATCTGGAACTTTTATCTATGTAAATAGTACGCTTGTGTTTGTATATCTGGAACTTTTATCCATGTAAATAGTACGCTT